CAATTATTAATCGTTATCGTGAACTAAATTATTGATTTTTCTGAACTGTTTAAATAAAGGTAATAATAAATTGCATTATATATTTTAGAAATTAGAACAGCTGTCTCAATTTGTGTTTAGATTTTTTGTTACTTTTATCGATATTTATACAAATTAATTCATTATTAATTCATAACACAATATTTTCTTGATATTTAATATTATGTCTAATGACTATAAAATATCTCTGATTCAAATAATGAATAGTAAAGTAATGATTGAATTTAATTTGCGAAAAAAAATTAATAAGTTTTTTATCAACTTTTTAAATTAAAGTTAATAATAATTTTAGTATACATTTTAAATATTGGAACTTAATTAAAATTAGTATTTTACTTTTTAAAGATTATAACTGCTAGTGCGATTTATATTTAATTTTTGTATTACTTAAACGTTATTTACACCAATTAATTTATTATTGATATTGATAATACAGAATTGTTTTGGTAGCTCGAATTATATTTAATTTTTGTATTACTTAACCGTTATTCACACTAATTAATTTATTATTGATAATGATAATATAGAATTATCTTGTTGATTAAATACTTTTGAACGATTTATTACGAATCAAAATAAATATTAAATTTAATAAGCGCAATCGTCATTGCGAACTAAATTATAGAATTTTAGCTGATTAATTAAAGTTAATAATAATTTGTATCATAGAATTTGCAAATTGAAATGACCTGGATTTGTTTTTAAATTTTCATTGTATTTGAAATGATATTTACTACCAAAAGTCTTTTTAAAATTTACAAATATCTGGCTATATAGAATTACCATTGAATTCAAAACCTTATATTACAATAGAAATATCCACAATTTCTAATGTATCTCTGAAAAAAATATTGTTCGTAAGTTATGTAAGGAAATAAATATAATTACTTCTAAGTTAACTGTTTATAACTGTTAAAAATCTTACGAATCTATAAAAATAAAATTTGTAGAATATTTTTCACAAATACATTAAGAAAGACGTAGTAAATAATTTAAAGAATATAAAATTGTGTTTCAGTAAATATACATAATTTGATAGTAACTGAACAAATGCAAAATAGTTTACAAATCTATTTTATTTATTATATCTATTTCTTTTAAAATTTACAAATATCTGGCTATAGAATTACCATTGAATTCAAAACCTTATATTACAATAGAAATATCCACAATTTCTAATGTATCTCTGTAAAAAAAAATATTGTTTATGAGTTATGTAAGAAAATAAATATAATTACATCTAAGCTAACTGTTAATAATTTTTAGAATCAATAAAAATAAAATTTGTAGAATATTTTTCACAAATACATTAAGAAAGACGTAGTAAATAATTTAAAGAATATAAATTTGTGTTTCAGTAAATATACATAATTTGATAGTAACTGAACAAATGCAAATATTTTACAAAGCTATAAACATTTTTTTCAGTGTATAAATTTGTGTTTCAGTAAATATACATAATTTGATAGTAACTGAACAAATGCAAATATTTTACAAAGCCATAAACATTTTTTTTAAAAAAGGTAATTGTCTTAAAATATTACTGGATATTATTAAATAATGCTATTAGTAGTAGGTAAATTGATCACTAATTTATCAGTTTAATAATTGTATACAGTGAATTTTTGCCCATAATCCGCAGACACAATATACTAAAAATAAATAAAATAAAATAATTAAATAGATAGATAAATAAAAAAAATAATAGTAAATGAAATAGAAATAAAATTGTAAATTTCAGAAATGATAGATATTAATAAGACGGCCAATTTTAATTACAGGTAAAACATAATATTATTCTTTCTTAAGACATTTTTTAAATGTTACTATTAAAAAAGCAATTACCTACTAGTTTGTTTCAGATTTTACAAAAGGTATTAGTAAATCTATTTCGTATCACCTTTTATACGGTGGTCAGAAATTGTTTCCTTGTATCTTCCTTCGTCGCGCACCTTTTCGCATCCAGCTCGCCCTCTCATCCCGCTAAGACATTTTTGTGGCGCCTACCGTGAATTAATTTAATTCGTTTCTTTACTCACGGTGTCTTCTCATCTGTTTCGACTTGCGCAACTTTGGGCCAAACATTCTATTCATAAAAGGTGTTTATTATGTAGGCACTGGTGAAACGATGATAACTATGATATTGTTAATGGATTAAAATAGAAACATATATTAGTTGCAGTTAATACTTCATTCGCAATGTCAGTCATATATGTCTGACCATAAGAAGTTCTACATGAGCCATATATTAATATAGTAGAACGTCGATTAACCGGACTAATAGTTGTCGATCGGCATTAGTATAATCGAAAATCACAATTTAACATATCAACTCATTTATCATATCAATAAGAAATTAACACTTCATTATGTATGTACATACATATTTTCTTCGATTTCATTACATACATATATTAAATTGCACCATTAATCATACAGAAATTCGAATCATAGATATGTGTAGATATGTACATAATTATAAATTGGTCGCAGTTGGTAATCCGGATAATCGCAAATCCGTATAACTAAGTTCCGTATAATCAAGGTTCTACACTATAGCGCCATTTCAGTCATATTATGTGTGACAAAAAATAGTTGTTCCAATAATTTTGACAATTTTTCTGATTCATTAAGTTTCCATGATACATCTTTAACTAAATTATCTAATAAAGTTACTATGACCCATGAGAAATTGTTTCTGATATTGTGACGATGATGATGATTAACGTGTTAATTTTTTAAACAGTTTAGCAATCTAAACTGATTGCGTAATTGATTTGATTAAAATTCACTTCCAAACATTCCATAAATTCTAATTGCAAAATTTATTTCCCACGTACGCGAATTTTTTAAATTTTTATGTTCAATTTATTTTCATTCTCATATGAACCTTGCTGAAATTGTTATTTCTTAAATTAAATATTTAATTTGTGAACTAATAAAGCTAAAGTATATTATTTTATGGATTTGTACTAGTTTTTATAATGCAACTAATATTTGTATGTTTAAAAGTATCAACAATTCATATTTTCAAAATAGTTCTTTAAAAAAAATGTATGAAGCATTGATACAAATATTTTATTGTATTTATATCGGATAAAATTTTACGTAGGCTATTTATTAGATAATTTAAAATTATCTAATTAACTTACCATGGCCTATGTGAAAATTTTGCTATTGATTATTGATATTGTTCAGTAAAATTAATATTTAACAAAATGATTTTATGTAAGTATTTAGATTCGAATATTTTCTGTACGCTGGACAAAATGATTCATACAATAAATTTGCATTATATAACATTCTACAGCTCGATCACAAATTGAATACATACATCATATGCTTTCTATCCATAATCTTCATCATTTTATAAACTAAAAATATCTTAAGTTTTTTGAGTTATTGTTATTCAGATTAATAGTTTTATATTTAATGTTCAATTATAATCACACAGGTATAATACAATAATAGAAAAAATGACTTTATAACAATCTCTAATTTCAAATGGGATTTGGGTACGACTGTGTTGCCTTTTATTTACAATACAATAACTCACCTGTTAGTAGTTGAAATCAAAAGTATCATTCATTTTTAGAATAATTTGTGTTACCTGAGGCACAGGTAAATTTAATAATTTTGTAGTGCTGTACCAACAGGAAATGAAAAATTACATGTAAACATTTAAAAAATTATAATATAAATATAAACTTCTCCTTTGGGAAGTCACTTAAAATTTCAAAATTAATTTTTTTTAGTAACTAAATTTTTGTTTAAATAATAGATTAAATTTTTGTTTTTATAATAGATAAATTTTATTATACATTCTAAAAATTAAAATTGCTAGCTTGATTTGTATTTAGATTTTTATTTTCTATTTTTATTTAGAAAAGTTAATTTATTATTAATTTATTATAATTTTAATATTTTTAACAACAAACAAATTTATTGAATTTATTATAATTTTAAGAATTATGAGTTATTAAACTAAACTGAAGTAGAAAATAGAAAATTTTGAGTTTCACCGGTGCTCGTGCAAAAAATACGATTCAGATCTTAAGAGTACATATACAAATTAATTTATTATTAATTTATAACACAGTATTTTCTATAAAAGTTTTGAGTGTGGTTTAATATGAATACTATCGTTATCGCAAACCACTAAATAGATTTTTTTCAACTGTTACAACTAATAATAAATTGCATTATACATTTTGAAAATTATTTCGATTATTACATCGATTTGTATTTAGATTTTATTTTAAACTATATTAACAAAAATTTAATTTATTATTAATAACGTATTATTTTTAACAACAAATTTATTGAATTTATTATAATTTTGGTTGTATAAACAAGTGCAAAATTATAAGGAGTTATTAATTAAATTAAATTAAAATAGAAAATTTTCGCGTCGCGACGGTACTCGTGCAAAACATACATCTACAAATCACCATACGCATACGTCTCGTAGCCTCGCAGGGCGGTGAGGCTGAGGCTGAGGCTCAACCGGTCGAACGGAGCGGTACGCAGAGCGAACGGCGGACGGCGAACGGCGAACGCACATATCTTCGTAGTTCATGTTCATAGCGTCCTCTGGTCCGCATAGATTCACCGAGCGCACGTAAACGAAAGCGTAGTCGGTCCCTCTCGCACCGTGGCGTACGTCCGACCCCGAAGAACGCCGTTGCCATTGGTCAACGCAGATCTCTCGTTCTTGCATGCTGCGACCCCTTCCTCCTGCAAAGGACGAGCGCGCCAAAATCCTCGTGAGCGAATCAGTTGTACACCGGCCGGCTAGCAGTGACTACGTATTTTGCGCAGAGATCATAACGAGAGCAGTGTGCGTTCCGGTTTTAATTTTAAATTCGTTTTTGTTCGTGTGCATTCATTTTTAAAATACCAAGTCGTATTTTATTTTAATTACAACAGACTTTTATCGCAAATCGATTTTATTGTAATACACGTGTGCTGTGGTTAATGTTAAATAGTGATGTGTTGATCGTTCGTGGCTCGTGTTTAATAGACGATGTCCGCCACACCGGCCGCAGGCGGTGGTGGCGGTACACAACAATCCGCAACAACGCACCATCATTGTTCGGATTGTGGACTGATGTTTGATTCGGCCGCTTCGTTGCAAGTTCATTTGCATTATCATCACGATCCGATGATGTCGCGCGCTTCGTGGGGTCCGCCGCCCTCGAATTCCGGGTCTCCGACAGATCCGGATAATAATAATCACGCGCCTAAAAAAGTTTCGAATGTGATAGCCGCGGCAGACTCTAGTGATAATCAAATGGTGAACGTGAAACAAGAACCGGGATTAGTACCCAAAATTGAACCTCAACAACAGACGCAACAAAATTCTCAACAACAGCCGCAACAACATCAACAACAACACGTGGTTACGTCATATCATACGCCTTACGAAATGCCACCGCATCAACAATATTCTCCAAACTACGGGTACGATGTGTATTACGGTTTAGAAAATCCTTATATGAACCAAGATTTCATGGGCAAACATAGTGCGCAACAAATGCATCAGCAGCAGCAACAGGTTTCGTCGCGCTATCAACCGTATCAGCATAGTCCGCGAGTGAGCTCATCTAGTCCTTCCGGCTCTGCGCCCGGTGGCGTTTGCATACCGTCGCCTTCCCCAGTGCAATGTGATAAATGCGGTATGGTGTGCGATACCGCCGCTCAACTGCAAGAGCACGCACTCTCGCATTCGGATTCGTTTCAATATCCGCCAATGCCGAATGCCAATACGACATCAACCAAAGACAGTTCGAGTGAAATTTTAGATCTGGATTCACACAAAGTTGTATACCCAGCTGTTTTACCATCACTACAAGGACTGCAAGGTATGCAACCGCATTGGCAAGATACGCAACCACCGCAGTCACATCAGTTATATCACCAGGCTGCATTTCCACCGCAATCCGCTTCACAAGATATTAAATTATTTCGAACACCATCGGAGCATGCAATGCAGCCGGGTATGCAACAGGCGTCTCATCCACCACATATGGTAAGCCCGCCGGATTTTCCTACAACAACAACACCGCAGCAACATGATAACGGCGTCGGCGGTTTTCGACCGGCCGGTACCGTACCACAAATTACAAGTTCTCATCCCATAGTTGCGCCTGGTGCTAAGGGACCTGGATGGAAAAGTAATGAGGCTCGTCGACCAAAAACATATAATTGTACTGCGTGCAACAAGTGGTTTACAAGTTCAGGGCATTTGAAACGTCATTATAATACGACATTGCACAAAAATGCTGTTAAAAGCAGTGGCCAGCCGGATCCCGCAAATCTACCTATCAGTGCTCATCACCACCCGGGCCGTGATCCTAATCACCCAACACATCACAAAGGTGGATCAAGTCCGTCTAGAAGGTTACAATCGCAACAACAGAGGAGCCCAGAACCTCAAGCTTTTCCACCACAATCGCAGCAACCATCAAATCCAGGAAGTTACATTCTACCTCATTCGTACGGTTCTTTTACGTTCCCGGGAATACCGCCGGATACAGGACAGCCTCCGCCAGGTGGTGACATGCATCACCAGCAGATCGAGAACAATACCACCTCAACAACAAATCATCTGTCTGGGAGTCCCCCAAACGGGCAAGCAGGTCCCTCCGTCCACAACCTCCTCCCACTTCCGAGGGCCTGCAGATTCACAACTCGTTAACAGTCAACACAACCAACATAATGAGGAACAATCAGTACGCCACATGCCGCAGCAGCCGGCCTGGTGCCACAGGATCAGGACCTGCTCCTGGGCCAGTCAGCGCGCTCGCCCATCTGGTACCGCAACCGCGCCGATCCCCACACACCATTACGCCGGATATTACGGACATGGCGGAGGACCTGGATCAGCAAGTCACTTCCAATCTGCAGTCGGCGGACCAGGGCCAATCCACCACCAACACACCGCTATTCCTGGTTATCCCGCCAGGCAACCGCATCACGAACTCTCACCATATTATTGGTGATACTAATGGCTCTGTGGTGGCTTTGAGGGATCCAGTTGCGGCTCCAACACCACTACAACATCAATACAACCAGCATATGGACTACGACTTTGTAGACCCTCTGCAGCATCCGCCGTTTAGTCCAGCAATACCGGATCAGGAACCATCGACGCCGTCGCCGCAGCAGCTTGTTGTCACATCTTCTGAACCTGATAAGAAGCCCGTAATACATCGTTGCGATGCCTGTGACAAGCAATTCAACAAGGCTTGCTACCTGACTCAGCACAATAAGAGTTTCCATTGCGGGGACAAGCCGTTCAAATGTAGCAGATGCGGCAAAAGATTCAAGAACGACGCTCTTCATGAGGAGCATATTGCTAAACATGCTGGAGACAAGCCTTTTAAATGTGGCGAATGCCCGAAACAGTTCAACCACAAGACCGACCTCCGTAGGCACATGTGCCTACATTCCGGCTCCAAACCGTACGCTTGCCATCTCTGCGGGAAAGGATTCGTTCGAAAGGACCATATGCTCAAACATTGCGACACACATCGCAAGAAATCCAAAGAACCGAATACGGCAAAACGCCCGGCTGCTGTACAGGCCTGACGAAGGCTAAAAATCCTCAGGATGACGAAGCTACTCTGATTACCTATCTAATTCACTACCTCAAATATCGCAAGCAATAATAAATCTACCTCAAGCAACACACGACTTAAATAAAATTGTTAAAAAACACTATAGGAATTAAATACAAAACGGGTACACGTCGCAATTTAGCGGCTTAGATTTCTACATATCACACGATACGTGTATATCTATTGTTATATACATAAATGTTATATTTCTTGTCATCTATAGTTTTATGATTATTTTAATTGTATTATAGGCCTTGCAAAAATTTGTTTGTCAATTTTTGTTGGTTTTATTCAATAGTACGAAATATTATATGAATATATTTTTATTATATTTGTGAATTGACAAGGTTGTGTTAGTTTGTAAGAATTTCAGTTACCAAATATATATACTCGAAATTGTTGATTACGCATTTTTCTCTGCTCATTTATCTTAGAAAATGTCTTATAGAATGATGAATGTATGTTTGAATATTATAAATTCCAATTTCTATTATGTGAAAAGCGTGAGATCGACTTCGGAACATTAATAATGAGGCGATCTGGCGTTTATTTTCATTTTAATATATTATAATAATTTTATGGATTTGTATATACAATTATTTGACATTTATGTTAATGTTTAAAGTAAGAAAATTTTATAGAAATAAATAAGATATGATATTATTACTGTTTATTAATCAAATTATTATTCTGATTTACAGGTATTATTAATGGCAATATTTTTCAAAAGTAAACATTCGCACTTTTCTCTTTTCTTGTATCTCAATTATGATTTGCATTGTATTGGGTTAAATGAAGGGTATTTTTTCCACTCCGTAGCTAATGGAATTTTTAATTAGACAATCAAATTTAATTATGTATGATGCGCGAATTATTCATTTTCAGCATGACAGACTTGGTTATGATTTTGTTATTTTTTTAATTTTGCTGTATGATTAAAACTTAATTATAATTTATTCTAATGGTATTGGTTTCACTGACGTCAAGTTGCACATTAGGCTTTATTTACTGCATTTTCAATAATTAAAATCTGATAATACAATGTTGCAGGTTTATTTTGGGTGATTGGATGCATTAGCATATAAATCGACTTGAAATATATAATGCATTCATTCTTCGACTGGGCATGCGCATAAAATATCTTTTTCATTGATAAATAATCTAAATTGCATATTGAATATTTAATCAAATATTTTATAAATTAAGTATTAATCACTTTATAACATATTACATTTTTATGTTGATTTTAATAATAGATAAATTCATAGTATAATAAAATAAATAAATAGTTATTTATTTTCAAATTTTAAAAAAGATTTGAAATTGTTTAAATGTGTTTATGACATCAATCTTAATTGAAAGGCATTTTTGCTGTAAATACTTAAAATATTAATTTAAGACTTTTTGAAGAATAACAAATATCAATAAGATTAAAAAAATATCTATGAATAGAATAAATATTCATGAATTAATTAAGTAGAGAAATACATATTATAACCGATTTTTATTAATTAAATAATTAATTTGATAAATAGGTGCAATATTTTTGTAAAAACATTATTGAAGCAAAGTCAATATTTGATACTTTGTTATAAAAAAACATTGCATGCTTTAATATAATATCAATTGCACTAATATTAATAATAAGAAAAAGTTATATAAGAAGTTTATTTTTAATTATTTGAGTATGAAAGTTTGAAAGAGATATTTTTTAAATGTTTGAATTTAATTCAAATTTAATTTTTTGTCAAAATTTAATTTTTTTAAATACTAAATGTGGTATAACTAACTAACCAAATTTTTACTAATTTTTTCTTATTATTTCATTATATAATTAAATCGGATTTTGGTCTACTTTTATATAGTTACTATTTTAAATATTTAAAATAGAACAGAATTTAATTTAAGATAAATTTAGCTTATTTTTTTTATTATACTTCTAGATACTGAATGCGTTTAATATTGGAAGAGATATTTTTTAAATGTTTGAGTTTAATTCAAGTTTAATTTTGTGCCAAAATTATTTTTTTATATTAAATGTAGGATAACTAATCAACCAATTTATTTTTACTCATTTCTTTTATTTTTATCATATAATTATATTGGTTTTTGTACTTTGAATTTAAAGGTTTGAATTTAATTCAAGTTTAATTTTTTGTCAAAATTAAATTTTTTTAAATAGTAAATGTAGTATAACTAACTAACCAAATTTTTACTCATTTTTCTTATTCTTTTATTATATAATTATATCGGATTTTGGTCTACTTTTATATAGTTACTATTTTAAATATTTAAAATAGAACAGAATTTAATTTAAGATAAATTTAGCTTAATTTTTATAAATACTTTTAGATACTGAATGCGTTTGGTATTGGAAGAGATATTTTTTAATTTAATTCAAGTTTAATTTTTGTCAAATTAATTTTTTTATATTAAATGTAGGATAACTAACCAACCAAATTATTTTTACTCATTTCTTTTATTTTTTTATTATATAATTATATCGGATTTTGGTCTACTTTTATATAGTTACTATTTAAATATTTAAAATAGAACAGCATTTAATTTAAGATAAATTTAGCTTGTTTATATAAATATGAAATATTTATAAATTCTTGATACTGAATGCATTTGGTATTCAGTTATAGAAGCAGTCGATTTTTATAAATGATTTTGTCTAACAACCTTATTTTTACTAGAATTTTTTTCATATCATTTTGATAATTTCTTCTTAAATTTTTTGTAATATTATTTTATTTTCCACAACATTTCATATTGAATAGGTGAGATATTGTTTAATTTATTTTAAGATACGAATAATTTTAATAAAGTTTAGTTTTTTATAAATTATAGAAAGAATATACTTTTTTGTAAAAATTAATTAACTTAAATCTAAATCTAAATTAAAACGCTAAGTTATAGTATTCGCAAAAAACAAAATCTAAAAATGTTTATATATCCCGACGTTTTAAAGCCTCCTGAATATTCTGACATACCTTAGAAAAAATAGAATACAATTTTTCGTCGACGATGTTGAGAACACGGATCAACCGATTTGAATGATTCAAACAACCTTCGATTTTTCATTGACGGGAGACGTGCTGATTAGTTTTTGGCCGAGGCATGTCCAGCCAATTTGGGCAAAAAGTCCCAAAAATGGTATTTTAGTTTTTGAGAGAACGGAGCGTCTAGTTTGAATGATTCAAAAAATGTTTTATTTATATTGTCTGGTATTATTTATGGGAAGACAGTTCTAGTGGTTACAATAAAAGAAGTAAAATAAAATATCACTTAAATAAAAAGAAGTAAAATAAATTATCACTTGGCGGTCAAAAATGATCATAAAACTTCAAAATATGTTCCAGCAATTTGCCTTAAAGCACGATGCCACGCACTATTTGTTTAACTATTTAACTGATAAAGTTATTTTAAATAATATATATGATATATTCCATAATATATTTCTAATATCATATTTAATTTACAACCAGTCTACAACATTTCGTTTACTCATAGATCCACACAGGTGAGCTCCATGATTATGAGCATTTCTCCGAGCTTTCATCCCCTTGCCGTTCCTGATTTTGTTTCTTTCTCCGGCACGTCATTCTCTCCTCGGCTTCGGCGTTTTTTTCCTTGTCTGCTGAATTTCACTATTTGTCGCTTCGAATAGTTTCCCATGGAATGTTCGTCTCATCTGCTTAGATGCACACAATGTTCTTCTATTCGGAATTATGTACCTTTTGCTTTGCGAGAGCATTTCTATTGAGTTGAGATATTCTACGAGTGTGTATGAATATGTAGGAACGACGCGCTTTATAGCAGTCTAGGGCAATTTGCAAATTGATTCTTGACAATTCGGTAAATGTTATTACTTTTATATACATATCGAGTGTTTATTAAAATTTTATATAAATTAAAGAATAAATATTTGTTGGATAGGCAGTGATTTTTAGTTATATTTGCATTAAATTCTGAGCTTACAATCTTCCTAAACATTTTTTTATTGGAATTGTAATATAATTTTTATACATCTCAGACAGCCAGAAGTGCCTGGTATGAGAGATTGTACAAAATATCTATACAATAGTATATATTTTTATTTTCTACATATATATGTATGTAATATGATCATTATTATATGTATAGAATATGGTCATTACTTAAATTATTAAAAAAAAATTTCTTGCACGTCAATATCGATTAATAGATGTTTTAAATTTTCATATTTTAGAATGTTCTAGTGATTGTAACACATTCTTGAGAAAACTATATAAATCAAATGTAAATGTTTAGATGATTAATTTGTGCAATATTGATCAAACTCATTATAATATCCTAATGTTTAATAATAGTTTTGAACATGTTATTTATTGAGTTTTATAATAAATGACAAACTAGTGGTGCATAGAATCGTGCCATATTTGCTGAAACTTTCCGTATCGTTATTTAATTTTTGAAATGTTTTTAATAAATTAAATTTTTCTGGGAATTATGAGTTTATTAAAAATATTGATTTTTTACGCGTTTTTTGAATAATTCAAATCGCACGGTCTGTTTTCTCGAAAAATTAATTGCCATTTTTGGTACTTTTTGCCCAGTATCTTTGAGACAACTATAATTGATGACATTTAGTAAGATTTATAAGAATTATTTCATTGTCATCAATTTTTAAAATCGAAAAAAATTCTTGAGAGTAAAGGACTTTTTAGTAGGCTTTATTGAAGATTTTACAGGTTTTATAATTGGCTTGACGTGAGAATATCATATTCAGTAATTGTATTAGAAGATTTCTAGTAGTGACTTATTATGACATACTTATTTAGTATTTCTGACAGTATTATTTCTTCATTAATGTCTCGAAAAACAGGATATCATCATATGTTAGATCTGAAGTGAATATCTGATATTACTACTACTTGATACCTAGCTGGTCAAAGTTGTTAGGCTCCATTCTTACTACAGTCAATTCTATATTACGTATTCTACATTTTTTATATTTGTTAAGAAATTATTGTTTATAACTATAATAAATTAAACATTCGAAAGTAATGTTTACTAAATGATGGAAGTTGATCTAATTTTTATTAATTTTATTTGCTGTTTATTGTAAAATTAAAAAAGTAGTTATAAGTTCAAACAATTTTAAAAATAATTAGGAAACAAGTTTAAAAATAATTAGAAAAAAATTCGTGGAAATATCTTGAAAAATTTACATGTTTTGGAATGTACATGTTTACTATTTTGCAGAAAATGGAACCGGGATTTTTTTTACCATGAACAAAATGCTAGTACTTTAATTTACACTAATAAATTAATGTAATTATTACATGTTTAATAATTTAATTTAGGTCA